GTAGCCCATTAAGCCAGGCATGACAGTAAATACAGATGCAGGAGCCCTCACTGGGAAGGAAGGAAGAGATTTTGAAATTCGAAGTTTTTTAAATTTTAGAAAGATAATGTATTCATATTCTATATGCTATTTAGTATCCAGGCCATGGTGTTTGTAGTTATCCTCATTACTACAACTGCCAGTAAAGCATCTGAATTGTCATGCTGTGTTATAAACAAGGTCTGTAAATAGTCTCATCTCAATTCAGGGTGGATCAGATTTTGCCACCAGATGAGTTCAAGTCGGGACAATTTTTCTATCAATTCAGTTGTGAAAAACATTTTAGTTTCAAAGCTTTTCAGGGTTTGAAATTTTAAATAAAGGACTAGGTATCTGTAAAATAGGACACCAGGTAGTTATTAATTGCTTTGATATAATAAAACTTAGGGCAAAAGAATAGAACGATAAAGCACTATAAGGATATGATTATATGGTAACCACAAAATGTGTTTGCTGAATCCTAAGAAAAATAAAATATACTATTATAGATTTAAAGTTTAAGAGAACATAAAGATTAATATTTAAAAACTGCATTCTGGGATTTGAAAAAAATGTGACATTAACTTTGCCTTAATTTGTACCCCACAGCATAAACATATAATAGAAACCTTCTCACTCTTAAGAAACAAATTTATAACCAGCTTTTTTTTTTAAGGGCAAAAGACAAGATTGGAGTTTATTGAAAACTTGAGAATTAAGGCAAAAACATTCAGTGTGGGACGTCATAGAATGATTGGTAGAGATTGTTATGCTTTGGTTTAATATTGGCTGAAACAACAAGAAAGGATTTTAAGATAATGTTTCAGGTCTTTGGGCATAAACTATTTGACTTCATATTGAAATAGAACTTCCTATACGGGCCAGAGCGATAGTATAGCTGATAGGGCGTTTGCCTTGCACACAGCCAACCTGGTTTGATTTCTTGAGGCCCCTCAAGTGCTACCAGAAGTAATTCCTGTGCGAAGAGCCAGGAGTAAATCCTGAGCACCTTCTAGTGTGGCCCCAAAACCAATATAAAAGAACAAAACAAACAATAAAAGAATTTCCAGTAAAAAGCAGTAGGTATAACCAGCTTTGAAAATTAGACATTTTACCAAATGACTGCTTGTTACACGCATTTTAAAATTTAACACAAGAACCTTTTCCTGCCACCAACATTTTCTGTACTATTTTCCCTGAATTTGCTCAAAACGTGCCAGGATAGTGTTGGCCCAGTTCAACTAGAAAAATAAAATATTGCAGAATATTTCAAAGCCAAGAAGAAATGATTTATGTATTTTTCTCTGCTACTTTCTTTTTAAGACTATTAAAATTTGTTTTTAAATATATATTATATTAGATTCATTTTATTATTTTATATATTATTGGGATAGCACAGAATTTTGTGTTTCTATAAAGGAATTTTGAGGTTTGTGGGGTTTGGGGCATTTTTCTGAGTTACTTTGTTATGAAGTCAACTTGCACCTTAAAATTGAATTTACTTGTCCATCCTTTAGACAGTAAAATAATAGCCTAATTCCATATTTGATGCTTATCACAAGATCAGCTTTGTTATTTTGTGTTAGCATGCATTATTTGTATATAAAATGGATGTTATATAAAACCACAAATGTTATTTCCATTCCATTAAGTGTTTAATAAGTCTTGCTGCTCAAATTGTTATTATAAATAATAGAATTTTGAAAGGAAGGAACCCGAAAGAAGATAGACTTTGGAGAGAGAAAGAATAATATAACTGATATGCTGTTGTTATAAGTCTAGAACCCCAGATCATCTTACTCTGATGGAAGGCGGACAATCAATGAAAAAATGTTCATCACTGATGATTAGGGAAATCTAAATCAAGATGACAATCAGATATCTCACACCAATGAGAATGGCATATATCAAAAATTCTGGGAACAATCTATTGTTGGTGGGAATGTGGTAAAAAAGAAACTTTCATTTCCTGCTGGTGAGAATGCCGTTTGCAAGTCCTGTGAAAAAGTCTGGAGATTTCTCACTAAACTAAGAATTGAACTGCCATAATGACCTAGCAATCCCACTTCTGGTATCTTTCTGGTATCTGGTATCTGGTACCTAGAACACAAAAATATTCATTATAAAGAACATATTACATACCATTATTCATTGCTGCACTTAATACAATAGATAAGATATGGAGATGAGATATGAAATCAACCTGGATATGCGATGATAGATGAGTGGATAATGAAGATACTGTGTGTGTGTGTGTGTGTGTGTGTGTGTGTGTGTGTGTGTGTGTCTAATACTATGTAGCTATAAAGAATGATTTCACTTCAACCTGGAAGAAACCATGTTAAGTGAAGTAAGTCAGAAGAAGGATAAATACTGGATAATCTTATGCATCTGCAACATGTAGAGTAACTGGATGAGAAAATGCAATGTGTGAAAGGGGAACTGCCTACCTTACCCTTGACCCCAGAGTATAGGATAGAGGACAAAGAAGGACAGAAATTGAGGGGGGGAAATTGGCATAAGGGAAGTAATGAGGGGCAAGGGTCAAGAACATCAGATACATCGGTGATGTAGAGAAATGGTTTAGCTATCTATGCAAACCACAAAACCAGCAATACCAGAAACTTGAGATCCAAACTACCCCAACCAAACCTAAAAATGTGCATATCAGAGAGCAGACTGGAAAGTGGGAGGGAACTTGGGACATTGGTAGAGAGAAGATGACATTGGTGGTGGAATATTATAGGTCTAAAACTCATCTATGAATAACTGTAAGTCATAGGGCTTTAATAAAAATTTTTAAAGTGCTAGCATCTTACTAAATAATTTTGAAATTATATCTCAAATATTGATTTCTTTTCTACTTTATGAGAAATATACCATGTATACATAATGTAGGGCTCACTGAGGAGACATGAAGTTGACATGTATTTATTAATTGTAGGAAAAAAATTAAATGATTCAGCTAAATATTAAATATACTTCCTCTTAGACATGAATAGAATAAATGTTAGTATTGTAAGGTCTGTTTCTTATCCATATCTACCTTGGCCACTGTTATGTCTTTTAATCCTTTAAAGAGAGAAATAGATACTGAAATGTGGGTTCGCCTTGTGTAAATAAATATCTCTGCATGTTTTATTTAAGTCCTGAGTTACTTAGAGAAAGTCATGTAGAATTCCCTAATTAGTGTGGCCAACTTGAAACGAGAGGGAGGAGATAAGTTCCAAGATATAAGCCGAAGGCTTTTTGAATCAATAAAGTATATCGTGAAAGGAGGTCAAAAAGTGACCATGTGCAGTTAGAGGGAGACTCAAGCCAGTACTGGCAGAGAGGTGGGTGAGTTTGGGAAGGTCAGCAGAAGAAACCCAGTGAGGGGTCTATCACGGTGAGTTGTACAACGCAGATTAAGAATAAGTTCCCTTGAACAGAGCCAGAGTTTCCATTTTGAAAACCAAACTAATTCCTGACTATGTATAATCGGAGAGCCCGGCAAACTACTGAGAGTATCCCGCCCACAGGGCAGAGCCTGACAAGCTACCCGTGGCGTACTTGATATGTCAAAAACAGTAACAGTGAATGGTCCTCATTCCCCTGACCCTGAAGGAGCACCCAATATGTCATCGGGATACACTTGCACGTGACAGGGACGAATGGAGACGTTACTGGGCCCGCTCGAGCGAATTGAAGAACAACAAGGTGATAGTGATAGTGATAGTGATGTATAATCTATCTATATCTATAAATTCATGTTTGTATGTATATCTATATCACCTAGATCTATTATCTCCACACTAATTACTAGGATTACAGAAACAATTACGATCTGTAGCCCCCTTTTTTTTTATTTAAACAAGCATGTGAAGAAGAAATGGGAATAACATGCGTAGCGTGTTTTGGTTGACCTTCTTCCTGGTGGCAATGGTCAGTGATGGAGGACCATATGTGTCAGGTTGGCTGCATGCGGGCAAGTACCGTGACTCCTGTGGTCTCGCTGAGGTCCCACTGTGCACATTCTTGTTTAGAGCTCTTGAACAATAGTCCATGTTGACCATTTTCTGTTCTCCAGCAGAAGTCTTGGTGACTTTAAAAGAATTTCAATCAAATGAAATAAGTTCTCTATAAGTGATTTTTTTTTGCATAACATGGTGTACACTAGTATTAATATTTATATTTTTATATTTTAGGTGATCAATGTTGCTATAGCATATCCACCACTAAAGTGCCATATCCTTCACCAGCGTCTGTAGGTCCCTTCTTGTCCATCCCCCCCTGTACCCCCACCCCCCATTTCTCTTTGGTAAACAGAGTTCCATTGGCAGAGACTTAATGTTTGTTTTCTTTGGTATTTCTCTATTCTCCTGCTTTATTTGTGTTCCTTATATGTGTGAGATCATCTGTATTTTTCTTTCTTCTGACTTTTATTATTCAACATGATACCATGTAGTTCCATCCAATTTGCACCAAAAGGCAGTATTTCATCATTTCTTATAGCTGAGTAGTATACCATTCTGTATAGACAACTTTCTCATCTGTTGTTGGGTACTTTCCCAGATCTTGGCTACAATGCTGCAGTGAATATAGGTGTGCATACATCTTTTCAAATTAGTGATTTTGTCTTCTTGGGACAGATGTTAAGGACTGAAATTATTGAATTATAAGGTATTTCTGGTCTCAGTTTTTTTCAGATGTCGCTACTGTTTTCCATAAAGGTTGAACCAGATTATATCTCTACTGGCAGTAAATAAGGGTTCTTTTTAAAAATCGTATCTCTGCCAACATTGATTGTTCAGAGTCTTTTTTGATAGTCATTCTCATTGATCTGATGTGATATCACATTGTCATTTTTGCAAAAAATCAGTGATGATGAATACTTTTAATGTGACTGTTGGCAAACTGTATGTCTTATTTAGGCAAAAAATATTAATCAAGATTATTAACTTTTGACCTGTCTTCAATTTTATTTTTGTTTTCTTAAATAGGCCAGTCTTCAGAGACCTGAAATTAAGCTTGAATCACTAAAAGAAGATATTAAGGAATTCTTTAAAATATCAGGTGTGTACTTTCCATCCTAATTCTTTAAGGAAAATAAGTAAAAATTTTATTTGATGAACTATTGTATCCCCAACATTCAAAATTGTGTAACAATGGTTTGATAGGCTTCTGAACTGTCAGAAATGTTAAGAAAATGATGCAAAAATTTAGAAAACCTCTTGATAATATTAGATTCAATAAAATTAAAAATAAATTATTTATAAAAGAAAAAAGAATCCCTTAGATAAATTGTCCTTTGCTTTTTTTTTTTTTTTTTTTTTTTTTTTGCTCTTTTTGGGTCATACCTGGAGATGCACAGGGGTTACTCCTGGCTCTACACTCAGGAATTACTCCTGGCGGTGCTCAGGGAACCATATGGGATGCTGGGAATCGAACCCAGGTCGGCTGCGTGTAAGGCAAACGCCCTACCCACTGTGCTATTGCTCCAGCCCCTGCCCTTTGCTTTTCATTGACTTTTTTCCATCTACACTTCTTTCCTTTTCTCTGTCCTTTCAAAGAAAAGACAAAAATTACAGAGCAAGAAAAAAGTTTGGGGCCGGAGTGGGTAGGGCATTTGCCTTGCACATGGGTGACCTGGGTTCAATCCCTGGCATCCCATATGGGCCCCCAAGCACTGCCAGGAGCAATTCCTGAGTGCAGAGCCAGGAGTAACCACTGAGTATCACTGGATTTGACCCAAAAAAGCAAAAAAAGAAAATACAAAAGGAAAAGGTTTCTCTTCTTATCCTTAGCTCATAGACACTGTTTGATTACCTAGACAAGTTAAAGTAGTCAGCAGCCAGACTCCTGGCTGATGGCATCTTATAATAATTTGCTTCTGTTTTTCAGAAGTTTATGATTTTTGTTGGTGTTTTTGTGCGACACCCAAGTGGTGCTCAGGGCTTTCTCCTGACTTGGTGTTCAGGGATCTCTCCTGGTAGGACTGGGGACCCATAAGTGATGGCAGGGCTTGAATCTAGGCCTAGAGTGTGTAAGGCAAGTGTCTTACCCATTGTACTATCTCTTGGGTCCTGTGACCGAAGTTTTCAGTCTAGTTAATTGCAACTAATTACATGTGATCTATCTTTGCCATGTGTCTGACAGTTTTTTTTCTTTCACTTGTACATTTGCCATAATACTGATAGTACAGCAACCACACTTTGTCCTTTATCCTTTTGAGAACCTTAATAGTGGAAGTAGAAAATGTTTCTTTCATTTTGGGAAAATGATGATGCAATTGTTTTATTATTTTGCCTTAAAAAAACCATATCGGTAAGTTTCTTTCCTTTTATTTTTTTGGTATTTGGGCCACACCCAGTGATAATCAGGATCTACTCTTGACTCTGCCCTTAGAGATCTGGGGACCATAAGGTGTGCTGGGCATCAAATCCAGGTCTGCTTCGAGCAAGCAAGCACCCTATCTGCTGTATTATTTCTCAAGCCATCATGTTAATAACTTGGCTACTCATAGTTAGCCAAGAAATATAGTCAAAAAATGATTCCTTAAAACAATTTACAGAACAATTGGCAACTGATAATGTTCTTTCCCAAGGGAATATGATGGTATAAATTTTAATGATAATGTATATTTCTAAAGCTAGTATATTCATGTAACTTATCCCTTTCTTTTAAAGGTTGGGAGAAGAAGCTTCATAATGCTGTTTATAGTGAACTGAGTGTGTGAGTTTTTCCTATTTTAAGTTACTGTCATGTTTTGCTATGTTTACTTTCTAAGTAATGGAATACAGTATGACTATATATATTCTTTGTGTTACTGCATTTTAGTGTTCATGTATAGTATTAGAAGCAAAATTATAGAGTTGCCAGAGAATTAATAATGAATAGTTCACTTTAGTCTCTAAATATTTTATATTATTCAGTGTAATTAGAGACTAAGATATTTCATATAACTGAAGCATACCCATATTCTTTTACCATTGTTTTCCACTTTGTAACTGATCATTCTAAACATAATTTGTCATTGTGAAAACCATCAGTGCTTTTATTTAGCTGGATATTCCCTCAGTCCTTTAAAGTGTATAGAATTATTTGTAATTATAAACTATTTAAAATTTTGTTTATAATTATAAAAAACAAAGATCTAGAATGTTCACTTTTTTTGGATATTCAATGTTCCTTTATTCATCATCTTTATTCTTTAATTACTGTATTCCAGTACCACATTTCTCAGAGGTGACATTGTGTAGAATAATCAACAGCTTCTTGTCACCAGTGACTGTGTGGTCTGAGGGAGTTTTAAAGTCTTCTGGATGTTGTTGTTTTCACTGCTCTCAGTAGACCTGTGTCTGGCATCTCCAGTCTCGAACATTCCTCTTTCCAATTTACCCCCTTCTTTCTAATCTGTTAACTGGGAAACAAGAACAAGAACCCAGTTTTCCAGGATTGTTTCTGAAGTGGGCTGGAGTGATAGCACAGCTGGTAGGGCCGTTTGCCTTGCACGCTGCCAACATGGCTAACCCGAGTTCGATTCCTCCGCCCCTCCCGGAGAGCCTGGCAAGCTACCGAGAGTATCTCGCCCGCACAGCAAAGCCTGGCAAGCCACCTGTGATGTATTCGATATGCCAGACACAGTAACACTTGTCACAATGGACACGTTACTGGGTCTGCTAGAGCAAATCGATGAACAACGGGAGAACAATGACAGTGTGTTTCTAAAGTAAGGAGACTCAAATGAGTGTCTGTAACCTGGGCCTGGAGTCACATTTTCCCAAATAATGTTTGCTTTTTTCCTTATCACCATCTTTCCAGTTGACTTTTGAATTTTTAAGTAACATCAGATATAGGTAATTAGTAGATCCATATCTACTAATTAAAGTTGGCTGTGTTAATTCCTTTGGCAAAAGCCACCAAAGAAATAGATGTTTATCATGATAATTAAGGTTTTAAATTCACAATATGAGAGCCACACATTGATTGAACTAATGTAAATATGGTGATTTATATCTACTACAAAGAAAGCTTGAGACTTCAGTGTCTTTGTCTCAGATGCTGGTGGGATAAAAGCACCCAAATATTGGGTTTTCTTCTGAGGAGAATTTAATGATTATCTAGTATTTTCCTAAAATCTGATAAATTCTATTTATTAACTAATTTTGGCTTTGTTTTTTTTTTAAAAAACTTCATATAAACACTAGGTTTAAAAAATTGTCTAGGGGCTGGAGCGATAGCACAGTGAGTAGGGCGTTTGCCTTGCATGCGGCCGACCCGGGTTCAATTCCCAGCATCCCATATGGTCCCCTGAGCACTGCCAGGAGTAATTCCTGAGCGCAAAGCCAGGAGTAACCCCTGAGCATCACCAGGTGTGACCCAAAAGCAAATAAATAAATAATAAGTAAATAAATAAAATAAGAATTTGTCTATAATTTGGTTATTTCTGGCATTCTGGGGCCTGGAGCCATAGCACAGCGGGTAAGGCGTTTGCCTTGCACATAGCCGACATGGCCGACCCGGGTTTGATTCCTCCGTCCCTCTCGGAAAGCCCAGCAAGCTACGGCAAAACCTGGCAAGCTCCTTGTGACGTATTCAATATGCCAAAAACAGTAACAACAAGTCTCACAATTTGTTGTGAGATGTTACTGGTGCCTGCTTGAGCAAATCGATGAACAATGGGAGGACAGTGCTACAGTGCCGGCATTTTGTGTTCCAACACCTATCCCATCACCAGTGTGACTTTCCTCCCCTCCACCATTGTCCCTTGTTACCAAGGCACCCCCTCAAAACTGCCCCCTTTGCAGGTACAAAATAATTTATTTTGTATTGCTTGTTCACAAAATGGCAAGTGGCATTATCAGAAAATAGTTCAGTGAAAAAAAAATTTGTGAAAATCATTACATCTCACAATGGGGTTATTACAGTTGTCATTTGAGGTTTACTGAGCCTTTTGTGGTCTAATGCATCCCCAACAGTTGTTCTTTGAGACAGATTGCTCCCACTTGGTGAAGAGGACAGTCTTCTAGTATTGGCTTTTCTTTAGAACACTATACTCTAGATTCAAACATTTTTAAATAAGTTGTTGGGATTTTTGAAGACCAGTAATATTGCCATTTTTCTTCTGTTTCCTGAAAAAATTGAGAAATAAAGGCAAATGGGAGATAAAAATAATGGATGTTTTCCAATTTCTGCTAGTTTATTTAGGATTGTTTGATCTTAAGTGGTGTGAAAGCTACACGCTCAGTAGAAGATTGAGCCTGTGGTTCTTGTAGTTGATTGCATGCTGAAAGCACCTGAACAAGTGGAGAAGTGCTGAGTTCTGGATCCCATCCTTTGAGATTATTCTGACAAAATTTTTGTAATTGTTATTTTAATTGCTGGCCCTCAACTATACTGTTAAGAATTTTAAAAGACATTGTGAGTTTTGAAACCTCTCTGGGTAATTCAAATAAGAAGTAAAGCTTGAGAGCCTCTGGACTAAGCTACTATGTTCATTAGGTTAGATATATCAAATGAAGTTTATTTAAAATGAAATCGTATTGATTTGCTGTTCGTTTATGGTGCAGCATTTGTATAAACAATTCTGTATTCACCCCGGCTTTCTTGTCCAGTTATCCATGAATGAGTATTTTGGTTGTTTCTGTGTCATAGCTATTGCGAATAATGATGTTTTGAGCATAGGAATACAAATATCTTTTCAATTTATTACTTTAATACTCTTTGGATAAATACCTGGGAATGGGATTGCTGGATCGTATGTTTCTGTTTGTAATTTTTTAAGTACTCTCTATACTGTTTTCCATAAAGCCAGTGCCAGTTTATATATTCCCATCATTGTTGTATAAGATGGGCAGGAGTGATAGCACAGCGGGTAGGGCATTTGCCTTGCACGCTGCCAACATGGCCAATCCGTCCCTCTCGGACAGCCCGGCAAGCTACCGAGAGTATCTCGCCCACACAGCAAAGCCTGGCAAGCTACCCATGACATATTCGATATGTCAAACACAGTAACAATTGTCACAATGGAGACGTTACTGGACCCGCTCGAACAAATCGATGAACAACGGGAGGACAGTGACAGTGACAATGTTTTAAATCTGTTCCTTTGCCATTAAAGTCAGATCCCCAGAAATGTCTATGGGTTTTTTTTTAATAAAGAACATTAAAAATAGTTTTGTTTTCTACTATTTACTTATGGGTTTAAGTTTTATATACAAATATTTAATCTAATTGTAATTTATTTTTATATATGGTCTTAAACAATAACAGTATGCAATATGGTCTTAAACAATAACATATGCAATATGGCTCTGTAGGTTTCCAAACATCATTTCTTTTATGTGTCTTTATTCCAGATTTTTGTTTGTGATTCCCATGAATATTGCATTGATATTTCTGTATATAAAATAAATCTCTTTTTTTTTCTACTGGAGTCCACTTGTAATTATTTGACTGAACAGATTCTGTTCTTTATTCCTACCCTTTAATGTTTTGTTGTTTACTCACTTTATTATTACACTTTGGGTCCTCTTTTTTTTTTAGTTTTTATTAGTGAAACACCATGAGGTACAGTTGTAGACTTACAAATTTTTGTGTTTGGGTTTAGATTATACGATGATCAAATACCCATCCCTCCACCAGTGCCCATTTTCCACCACCATGGATCCCAGTATCCCTCCCACTCCCATCCCCCCCCCCCCAATCCCACCCTGCCTCTGTGGCAGGGCATTCCCTTTTGTTCTCTCTCTCCTTTTGGGTGTTGTGGTCTGCAGAAGAGGCATTGAGTGGCAATCATGTTTGGTCCATAGTCTACTTTCAACATGTATCTCCCATCCTGGGAGGATCCTTCAAACACCCTTTATTTGGTGCTCCCTTCTCTATCTGAGCTGCCCTTTCCCCTAGAATTCCCGGCTGGCCTCTAGGCCATGGAGTAATCCTCCTGGTACTGATCTCGGCTATTCTTGGGTATTAATCTCCTATTTTGTTACTTTATGTCCCCCAGATGAATGCAATCTTTTTATGTCTATCCCTCTCTTTCTGACTCATGTCGCTTAGCATGATACTTTCCATGTAGTATTTGGGTCCTCTTTTACTAGTTATTATCTTGCTCAAGTTCACATAATATTTTTTTCTTTCATGTAAAAGAACTTTTATCATTCTAAGAAGACAGATTTTGTGGCGTGTAATGTCCCTTATAATTTTTGTTGGATCTGAAAACGTATTTCTCGCCATCTTTGAAATATAATTTTGTGTTGGAGAATGTTTTTGACTGGTAATTGTTGTCTTTCAGGACTGCAAATATGTCATCACACTCTCTCCTAACCTGTAAATTTTCTTCTGAGAAATCTGATGATTGTCTGATTTGATTGCAATTGTGTGGTACATTTTCTTTTCCCTAGCAGTCTTCTTTATTTTTTCTTTATTGTTGACTTGATAATATAGTACTAATGTCTCTTGGTATAGGTCTTTTTATGTTTAAAAACTTGGGTCTTCTATCAGTTTCCTGGATTTTGTGGTTTATTGTTTTTTTAGGTTTGATAAGCCCTCATATTGCTTTGACTAAGCTCAATCTGTTTTTTTAATCTCATATTTGTCTTTTAGCATACACATCATTCATAGTTCCTGTTCTGGTGTCTGATAATTCTAGTAGAATTTATTTATTCTTTCCCTAAACTTAATTCTTTTTTCGTGTTTATCATTTCATCAGTTTCTCTGATTCTTTTCTCTTT